AAAGGCTTGTAGAAAATGAGCACTGTCTTTTCCCAGCACTGCTGTAGGGCCTTGCTGGCTGGGACTGTATCTGAGACAGCACAGGCAGCAGCACTGCAAAATTTCTTTTTCTTCCTTCCAGGAAACGCTGCCTTCCCAGCCTGAGCTGGTGGAGACCAGAGGAACCCCCTCAGCCTTGCTGGGTCTCTGGGCTTTGTAGCAGGAGTAAATTGTTAAAAGCTGCAGCAATTCACTGCGGTGCGAATTAAAACGCTGCTTGCAGGTACTGCAGAAGGCAGTGCACACCCTGCAGGTTCATCACCTGGAGAGGAAGGTCCTGCACGAAGCCCTGGTGCAGGTTCCTGCCGCCCGGGTCCCGTCATTGCACGCCCAGTGCCACTTACCACGGCTCTGCGTGCTCGAGCCCTGTGTGCCCTGGGGTAACTCTGACACCAGTGGTTTGGGAAGCCCACACTGGGGATGGATGGATGGACGTGCCTCTTCCGAAGCTCCTGCCGTGCCGCCGCTGCTGGGGACGGAGAGGTGCCGCGCTGCCGCGTGCGCTCCGAGCCTTCCTGAAGCGGATCCGCTGGCCCCCGAAAAAGGCTTTCGTGCCTGCAGCAGCTGCTGAAATTAGGAGGAAATGAAATACCTTCTTCTGGATTAGACCTTGCAAAATCTCTCATCCCGGCCTGTGTGAAAGTTCAACTGCTTCCTTTGTTTATGAGGTGAAGGATATTTTTGTCATCTCCAGTGTCTGTTTTTTTTTCTTTTAATTTTTAAATAAGGGTCTCTTTCTCTGTTTATTGGAAGTCCAAAACCTCTTTGTACTCTTAAAATCAGGTTTTAGCAGCTGGGCTTTTCATTAAAGGTGCTGATAGGTCCTGTGTTATCACAGGTGACCTTCAAGAACAGCAAAGGGCAGGTTTTGATCCTGAAGGTAACGGTGGGAAAAGATGAAGCTCTCCTGCCGACATCGTTCCAGGGAAGGGCCCCCCTTGGCTGTGCCTGCGGATCCTTTCCATAGCTTTTTTTTGCAGCCATAGTGTCTCAAGGGTGGTTTGAGGACATTTTCTCTCCTTGCCTTTCCCCAGTCAGTGAGTGTGACTGGTTCCTCCTGTGCTCGGTGTAGAAAAAGAAATGCCTGCTTTGGAGTCCCACACTTCTGCAGCCGTGGGATGTACAGGTCACTAACCAGTTGGACCTGACTTCCGTAGGTGGTAAAGGATGTTCGTAGCACAGCTCCTTCTCTTTTTTGAAATTTGTGACAAGGCCATTGGTGGTTGGACTTTGAAAACGGCTGCGGTGGAGCTGGTGAAGAGCTGCCTTTGGCTACCCCTGCGTGCTGAAACCCTGCTTCTGGCTCTCACTGGGTGCAGTGAAAGGGTGCTCCAGGCACTTGTCCCACCCAGGCTGCTCTACTCTGGTTAAACACACTGGATTTACTCCTGATCCATAGTGAAACGAAAAGAAAACCAGACCCTCAGGGTTTATTTGTCATGGACATTTTACACTCAGTGGAGGGAAGCCAGTCTTGTAATGGAAATAGTGGAGGGGGCAGCCCGGGTGGCCAGGGGACTCTCTGAAGCCACTTGATGACCCACCTTGTCCTTCAGACTGTGGGCTCTTTGGGGCAGGGACCCTGGTGTGACTTCCCAGTCACTTTCTGTGACACAGACAGTATTTCCTATACCCAGAGCAGCTGTTCATGGCACCAGTGATGTTCCTGGAGTCGCAGGAGGCAGAGCTCCGCCGTGGCGAGGTGTGCGTGGCCGTCTGGAAGTGGGCTGCAAAACGAGTGCACTTATCACGGGGGAAAACTTGCATTTCCTCAGCCTTGACAAAGCTGGACAGTCCAGCTTTCTTAATTTATGTTCTCTTGTTAATTTATGATCTCTTTTGTACCTTGTAAAAACAACTGAAGAAAAAAGTAACTGCTGTCCTCAACAAATATGTCAATAAATACTGATGATGAAATAGCAGCACCCCGCAATACTTGCTGAGTTTTGCTCTTTACAGGCAGGCTGCTCCTACTCTTCAGTTAATAATTACACATCAGGAAGTACCAATTTATGGCAGGGTAATATGGAAGTAGTAGAAAAGACAAAGTAAACTTGACGTAATATCAGGAAAATGTTTTTGGTTTGGTGGGTTTTTTATTTTTGGAAATGTGCCCAAATGTGTCCAGCAGAGAAGTGGAATTAATGGCCTCTTCTAACCAGTTATCCATCTTTCTCAACAGAAATGGCCCTGACTTGCCAGGCTTTGAGAAGGAGTTGCAGTAACGCTGTTGAAGAGCGCTCATGCTGATCCAGAAGCCATCTGGCACGGCCTTGCCTTCGTTTTCGCAGGTATCGTCACTTCGGACTAACATGACATGACTCATTAGCTCAATCTCTTGAGCAGACAGTTTCTTGACATCCAACTTGATAACAACAAGGCAACGATACTGGTGTGACAACTTCAGAGCCTTGAACTGGGCTCTCCGAGATGACACCAGAAGTGGTGTTATTTGGACAAGGCTTTGAGCAGCCTGGTTTAGTGGAGGGTGTCCCTGTCCGTGGCAGGAGGGTTGGAACGAGATGGTCTTTAGGGTCCCTTCCAACCCAACCCAACCGTTCCTCTGTGATGCTGTAGTAGTGCCTGGCCATTCTTGCCATCGTACCCCTGTTCTGCATGGCAGTGACCGTTGCTTCTGCAATAGATTTCCTCAAGAACTAATTAGTGAGTTTTGAGCAGTTTTGCTCATGCTTCGCTTTATCTGACATCCTTTACACCAGCCAATCTCCCCTAGAAAATCATCTCTCCAGACTGCATGGCTGGCTCTTCAGCCTCTTCAGCCTTGCGATCCTCCATGCAGTTTCACCTTCTGTCGTAATATTTCATTATATGTTTTTCACACCTCCCTTCTGCTTGAATTCCCCAAGAATGGCAAAATATGGCAAAGCCTTTGGAACTGGCCAAGGCTGTTCCCTGCTTTTGTTCTCACTGACACCCGCAGCGCTTGCCGAGGTGGAGCGAGGTGCTGTCCCAACCTCCCCCACCATCTCCCATGCACGCAGGGATTGCAGCTCCTCCAGGACCTTAATTGTCTTTGGCGTTTCCCATTCAGGGTAAACATGTTTAAACTTTTACGCTCTTGGAAATACATTGTGCTTTGTGTTTGTTCTGAGACAGGAAGCCAATGAAACGTGCTTTGTTGACAGCCTTGGTTCCAGCAATTTCTGAGAGCCACCTAACAGCCATGTGAAGGCGGCTTGGACCTGGCTCGGCTGCCAAGGAGAAGCCTGTGAGCGTGGATGTGATGATGGAGTCGGTGAGGGGTTTTGCCACCTCAGAGACTGGTACTTCTAGATCAGCACGATCGTAAAGAATAAACTTGCTAGATGAAGTGGTTTATCCTCTCTCCGTAAAAACCTGACCTTTGAGCCAGGTGGATTTAACAGCACGTGCTTTTGCTGGACCCTGTGTGAACAGAGGGCTGGAGGGTCCGATTCCAGGGCTGTTGAGGGCAGCGAGCTGCTTTGCATCACCTTTCCGTGGGGCAGATCCTGTCTGGCTTCCTGAGGCAGGAAGTGCCCTGGAGATGCCATCGAAGGGGTTTTCCCACTAAACCTACGCACGGGACCCAAGTGCTCTCTGTATGACTTTCCCTTCCCAATGGAGGACAGATATCCAGCAGCAATAGATGGAACTGCAACGAAAATGCTTCTTTTGTCCCCAGAAAGTGCCATCCTGCTGTGCAGGAGCAGCCTCCCGTGCTCATGAAATGCAAACTAAGGCCTCACTCACCATGTTTTCTGGCCATCCAGAAGGAATCCTGGTTGGCTTCCTATCCAGATTCTGGGGTTTTTTTTGGTAGATGAAAAATCAGCCGCAGCTGTTGCTGAGGCTTGTGAGACACCAGGTGTAACTGGAAAATGAAAAGGGAAGGTGGGGCTGAGCCTCTCAATTTGGGCTCCAATAAGGATAATGATTCAATTTAATCATCAATCTTCATCAAAGAGGAGGGGGAGGGAGGACGGCGAAGGCGGTTTGATCACACAGATGCCCATCAGCCAAGTCATAACCTGAGGCATGCAGGAGGCAGCGGGTCGGTGAAAGGACAGGCTTCCCAGGGCTGTAATTACTGGTCCTGCCGTGCCTCCAGGCAGCAGGAGCTGGTCCCTGGGCAGAGCTGTTGGTCGCCCTGGGTGGGTACAGACACCTGGCTTGATGTGGGACAGAGCACAGGGCGCCTGAAGCTGAGTCTCCATCGTGTGTTCACACCTGAGAAGCTGTGGGACTTTTTCGGTTACACCCGTGGGATGGGGATGGGTTTGTCCATCCTTTGCTCCAGCAACGTTGGCATCAGCATCTCCCGCTCGTTTCTGAGAGCGTGCCATCATTGATACAGCTACCAGAGGCCCTTTAGAGCCAAGTGTCTCAACAGACAGGACAAAGCAACCAAGAAAAGAGATTTGTAACGGCTGGCACACGCGTCGCGTTGTGTCTGGTTTTTGCTTTGTGACAAGCCACCTTCTGGATGGGTTTTTGGGACTGGTGCGAGCGCAGGTGGCTCCGACTGGCACATCCGTGCAACAGAGCCACCAACACAACCCGGCCATCCCTGGGGATGTATTCCAGTCCGTAGCAGGTGCTGCTGCCCCAGTGGCCTCCCCGACCCCCCTGGGTGGACAAACCGGCCCAGCCGCAGGGCCGGGCTGGCTTATCAGCCCTTTTCCAGCAAGGATGCGATAAGATCCTTCTCCTCCCCGCTCCGAACTCCGCCCCTGCCGTCTGCACTCCGGAGTTTTTGCGTCTTGAAAGCAGGGGACAGGTAAGAGGCACGTGGTAGTTTGCCAAATCTCGGAATTTCTGGCGTTCCTGGGCGGAGGAGGAAGCGCGGGACGCCTGCGCCATGCCTCCCGCTCCGGAGTATTTAACCGCGGGAGTCGTGGCCGGAGCCGCGTCTCCGCTCAGCCTCCGGCTTCCCGGGAAGGAGGAGCAGGCCTGAGGAAGATGAGCTGCAGCAGGTACCCAGTGGACCTGAAGGCTGTAGGCTTCATGCAATGCAGGAAGCAGAAGGTACTTTAATGGGGTTTTTTGGTTGGATTTTTTTTTTTCTCTCCTTAAATACTTACAAATCGGGAAAGTAGAGGGCTTTTTGAGTTACTCTACGGGGGTATGTTCACTCATTTTCCCGCAGCGCTGGGATTAGAGCCTTGCTATCCAGGACAGAGATCCTGGACTGGTTTTATAATGGGCTTAACATCATAAGAAAATGGTTATCTTGGATTCTGCTGTCTGTCTGTTCACAATGTCACAAATAATGTCTTCTAGCAGTGATTGCCCACCTGGGGCCCTGAAATTAAGGAAATATTTTCGTAGGTCTAATGTTTAATTTCATTTTTTAACGTGACGATCTTGCAGCCTGAAGCCAGAACTAAACCGCAGCTCCTGGCAAACGCCGATGGTTTAAAAGCATCCAATATTGAACAATGTGATAAAAAAAATGCATTCCTTTTCCCTCTGATTTTTCCAGAACTACATGATGTTTGTGTCTTGGTCAGATCAGAACAACATTCTCATCTATCGGACATTCGAAGACTTTAAGAGATTCCATGTAAGTGAATATCTCCCTGAAAATAGGATTCCCACCCTGGGGAGGGGGGAAGGAGCCCAGCTGTGCGTGGAGGCTGCGAAGCATCACTATTCTCTCCTCTTCCTCACTTTTAGAGAGACCTGAAAAGAAAATTCCCCATTGAGAGTGGCTCACTCAGGAGGTCCGACCGGACAATACCCAGGTTTAAAGGTAAGGAAACGAAATCTCTGATGGACCAACAAACATGATGGAGCTGTCGGGGACAGCTGTAACTGATGGCACAGACTTCAGCTGAGTCTGACCTTCCTCTGCAACAGAGCACCAGCTCACTCCTGCTCATGGCGTGGTGCCGCAGGGTTACATCAACGTGCTCGAGTCTGTTACGGAACTAAAAGAAATTAAATTATTTTCTTGAAAGCAATGAAAAGAAATACTACTTTTTAATAGAAAATTGCACTTGGTAAATTAATATTACACTTTAAACATCGGCCCAGAGCTCTTTGCAACAGTTCAGTGTGAACAAAGATACAAATTTTTAATATCTAAAATTTGTCAGGTGCTATTAAAAATGCTAGCGAGGCGGCTGCTGTCTGAGCTTCTCACGGTTTAGGCTTGAGTGGGGAAGGGTGGTGGGTGAGGGGACCCCCACATTCAGGCAACAGTTGCTGCTCTCGAGGCATCCAGATCCGTTACTGTCTCACACCAACTTTGCTCTTGTTGTTTTAAAGATGTGAATATGAAGCAGAGGAAGAGTGGGAATCTGAACAGGTGCCTGGAGATCCTGAAACTGCTGGAAACTTACTCCCAGGAGCTGCTGAAAATGGATGCTAAAATCTCCCAGGGCGAAGACGTGATTCAGTTTTTCAAGGCCCAGACCCAAGACCTAGATCCCTCCTTTCCTGAAAACAGGTATGAAACGATAGTTGTGGTTTTCAGTTGTATGTGTCCTCATGAAACAGAAATGTTGTAGAGGAGGGGTGGAAGAGAAACAGCAGTTCTGTACCGGGGCAGCGGAGCAGGGAAGTTCCACTGTGTTGTTTCCGGTGCTTTTCTTAGCCTACTGCATAGACACTTTTCACCAAAATTAATACTAAACTCGAGCTTCCATGTGAGTTTTCAGTAAACCGACATTAAACTTTGCTTTTCAGTGTTGTGATCATGCCATCGGAAATTGGAGGGGAAAAGAAAAACCAGCCACGGCAGCAGCTCTCCTCTATTACACACCCCCAGGCCTCCCAGAGCTACAGATGCATAGAAACCTTTGAAACCAAAGACACCAAGAACAAGACGTTCAAAATCGCTAAGAAGGAAATTGTTGAAGTCTTAATCAAGGACATGACTGGTGCGTGTGACAGGGATTCTGCGGTTTCAGGGATGGGGGGTGTGATCCATAGCTCGGCAAATGCCGTCGGCAACATCGTGGGTGTGGGTGGGTGTCTACGTGTGGTGTGCTCACTTGGATTTACAGGGGAGGAAAGAACCAAGTGTCAGCAGAATGTCCCTCCTGTCCCTACCCAGGGATCATGGTCATCTGTCTACTTGCAGGCTGTTAAAAAACATTTTTTTGTTTGTTTGCCGCAGGATGGTGGCTAGTGGAAAACGCAGACAAGCAGATAGCCTGGTTCCCAGCCTCGTACCTGGAAGAGATTGATGTCCACAAGGACATCCAGAACCCCTTGACCTCAAACGAGGAGGGTAAGTCTGCTTCTGATCCCGGGGACACCACATTCCTCCTTAAACAAAAAGAGTTCTGCAAAAACCCCCACCACTTCAAACGTTGCTTGGAGTCCCTGCCTGGATCTCCGACTTTTCTGATCAGCTCCGCCACCAGCAGTGGGTCTCTGACCAAACCAGTCACTCCCAGAACACTTGCCCTGCAGCTCTCGCTTGCTCCCCAGGGCTGCTGAGCGGGTTGGTCACAGGGATGGAGACATTTTCTCCACAAAGCAAACACAACCTCCCCCTCCTCTCCACAGGCAGCCTGTACTTCGTCGCACGGGCCTACGAGTCCCAGAAGGCAGATGAGCTCTCGCTGAACAACGGCGTCGTCGTGGAGGTGGTCAGGAAATCTGACGATGGCTGGTGGCTCATCCGGTAAGGAGGCTGTTCCGATGCTCTCCCATTCCCCAAGGGAGCTGGTTACCTGCTGCAGGTGCTTCCTGCCTGCTCCTCCCCAAGCAGGGTGCAGAGGAGCTCCTTGAGTTGATTGTCCTTAGCTTGGGACGGGTTGCCCGTCCTCATGCCCCACGTACGGCACAGGGCTGAGTCCTCGCCTCCCTGCCCTTGGGCTGAGCTGGGAGAAGGGCTCTTTTCAGTGTTGTTCTTCATCCTCCCCCTCAGATACAACGGCTGCACCGGCTACATGCCCTCCATGTGCCTCCAGCCCTACAAGAATCCTCACCACAAGCTCCAGACCATCATAAACTGCAGGCTCAACATCTCCACCCCGAACCTCTGCTCCTCTCTGACGGCTCTCCAGCGCCAGGGGGAGGCCATGGGGCAGCCTGCGGTGCGGGCTTGCTCTTCCCTGGACCAGACCGAAGAGGACATAAGCTCTCTGAGAAACAGATCAAGGTCTTTGCCCAGGGCCAGCTCCACCCCCGAGCTGGAGTCAGACAGCTCGTCCCTCAGCTCGGGGAGCAGCAGCGAGCGTGACGGCCAGCTGAGCTGGAAGCCCGACTTGTCACGATCTCTGCCCGAAGTCGAGCAGGCCAGGAGCAGTGCCCCGAGTCACACCTTGGCCACGCACAGCACCGAGTCTCCACGCCTCACCCACAAGGACAGGAACGATTCTGGCTTTGTGGAGTCATC